GCCAACAGCCAACGTCAAACTCCCAGCAATTTCACTGAAATCAGGAACAAGACGAGGTTGTCCACTCTCTCCATATCTATTCAATACGGTTCTTGAGGTCTTAGCAAGAGCAATAAGAAACCAAAAGGAGATCAAGGGGATACAAATCGGAAAAGAAGAAGTCAAACTCTCACTATCTGCTGATTTGATAGTTTACTTAAGCAACCCCAAAAATTCTACCAAGGAACTTCTACAACTCATACTTTCAGTAATGTAGCAAGATACAAGATTAGCTCAAAGAAAATCAGTAGCCCTCCTGTGCACAGATGATAAAAGGGCTGGTAAAGAAATCAGAGCAACATCGCCCTTCACAATAGCCACAAACAGCATAAAATATCTTGGAGTAACTCTAACCAAACAAGTGGAAAACTTGCATGACAAGAACTTTAAATCTTTGAAGAAGACACCAGAAAGTGGAAAGATCTCCCATGCTCTTCGGTAGGTAGAATTAACATAGTAAAAATGGCAATCTTACCAAAAGCAATCTACAGATTCAATGCAATGCCCATCAAAATCCCAGCAAAATTCTTCAAAGACCTTGAAAGAATGGTACTCAATTTCATATGGAAAAGCAAAAAACCCAGGATAATCAAAACAATCCTATACAATAAAAGAACTTCTAGAGGCACCACAATCCTTGACTTCAAACTCTTCTACAGAGCTACAGTACTGAAAACAGCCTGGTATTGGCATAAGAACAGACAGAAGTACCATTGGAACCAAATAGAAGACCCAGATATTAATCCACACACCTTCGAACACCTGATTTTTGACAAGGAACTAAAAAATATCAAATGGAAAAAAGAAAGCATATTTAAACAAATGGTGCTGGCATAACTAGATATCAACATGTAGAAAAATGAAAATAGACCCATATCTATCACCATGCACAAAACTCAATTCCAAATGGATCAAAGACCTCAACATAAAGCCAGCCACATTTCAATATCCTTAGTCATCAGAGAAATGCAAATCAAAACAACTCTGAGATTCCATCTTACACCTGTCAGAATGGCCAAGATTAAAAACACTGATGACAACTTATGCTGGAGGGATTTGGGGTAAAGGAACATTACTCCATTGCTGGTGGGAATGCAAGATGGTATAGCTGCTTTAGAAATCAATATGGCGATTTCTCAGAAAATTTGAAACAACTTTCCTCAAGACCCAGTAATACTACTTTTGGGTATATATATCCAAAAGATGTTCAATCATGCCACAAGGACATGTACTCAACTATGTTCATAGCAGCATTGTTTGTCATAGCCAGAACCTGGGAACAACCTAAATGCCCCTCAACTGAAGAATGGATAAAGAAAATGTGGTACATTTACACAATGGAGTACTATACAGCAGAAAAAAAAATGAAATCTTGAATTTTGCAGAAAAATGGATGGATCTAGAAAACATTATTTTGAGTGAGGTAACCCAGACACAGAAAGACAATGATCACATGTACTCGCTCATAAGTGGTTTTTAAACATAAAGCAAAGAAAACCAGCCCACAAATCACAATCCCAGAGAACCTAAACTACACGGAGGACCCTAAGAGAGACATACATAGATCTAGTCTACATGGGAAGTAGAAAAAGACAAGATCTCTTGAGTAAATTGGGAGCATGGGGACCTTGGGGAAGGGTTGAAGAGGAGGGGAGAGGCACGGAGGGAGGCAGAGAAAAATGTAGAGCTCAATAAAAATCTATAAAAAAAAAAAGGGGGGATGACTGATGTTAAATAGAGGTCGTCAGCAAATAATAAAAATTAAAGGCAAGGTACTCTATTTGATGCATCTAAGATGTTAGTGATTATAAACAGGTTATCTCATATACTCTTAATAATGAAAATCCCACACCATTTCAATTATGATATACTTTTCAAATCTTGAACACATTCAGATTTGAAAAGTGAAAAAGAAAAAAAAAGGACTTAGACCCAAATAACTGGACAATTAAATCACTACATAGATGAATGAATGAAGAAATAACATTCAATCCAAAGAGTTGTCTAATTATTCAGTTGGTATGAAAGACCATGTTAAAAATTCCAAAATATACATTTGCTCATGAGAATGTAACTAAAAGAACTGAAGAAGTATTACTGAATCTCTAAAACATAGGCCTTTTGAGTCTGGTGATTACAAATGCATCCTGAAGAAAACAACTAGAACAAACTTTCATGAAAATAACTTCTTCATTGTAAGAACAAAAGAATACCAAAATTAAAACCTTGGAAAACTAACTAGCCAGTTTTAATCAATTTGCTACACAAAAATCAAAAACAAAACACTGAAATACTGCTGTTACTAAAGAAATTTTGCATAGGGGATACACAATGAAGTACTCAATAGCAAAGATCAGGATCCTTAGCTTAACCTCCAAATGCTTAAACAAGCAAACACACCCACACTTCATGCTCAAGCAAGAAGGGATAAATGTAACACCTAGGAAATCTGATGAAGAGCATACAGGAATCTTTTTTTTTTTTTCTATTCCTGCAACTACTATTTAAGCTGAATTTATACTGGAGGATGGAGAGCTGTACCAGTTGGTAAAGTGCCTGTTACATAAGCACAGAGGCTTGAATTCTGATCAACAGCCACATAAAAACTGGCCTCAATTGTGCACACCTATTATCCCAGTGCTAGCAGGGCAAACAGGCAAATTCCTGAAGCTCACTGGCTAGACAGCATAGGCAACTGGTGAGCTCAAGGTTCGGTGAAAGACCCTATCTCAAGACATAGAACAAGCCAGGAAGACAGCAAATATCAACCTCTGGCTTCCACAAGCATGCATGTATACATGTACATACACACACACACACACACACACACACACACACACACACACACAGTCTGTGTCCTTCTCAAAAGATAGCAAAACAATTAGGATTTGTGAACCAGAACATAAATAAATACACATATAGACAATATTGAAGTGGAAAGACTACAAATCAGTGGCTCCCAGCCTGTGGGTTGAGTTATCCTGCATATCAGGTATTTACAAGATTCATAACAGTAGCAAAATTACAGTTATGAAACAGCAACAAAATAATTTTATAGTTGGGGTCCCCACAACATGAGGAACTGTATTTAAGGGTTGCAGCATTAGGAAGGCTGAGAACCACTGCTATAGATGCTTGACATTTATGAAAATTTTAATAACAAAGTTGAGTATTCCTTATTTAAACTGCTTAGAACCAAGAGTGTTTCATCTCAATTTTTTTGATTTTGTGATGTCTGCATATATAAAATGAGTTATCTTGAGGATGAAATTCAAAGCTAAACATCAAATTCATTTATGTTTCACATATAACTTATAAACAGTCTAAAGTTAATTTTGTAAGTATTTCTAGTTTTCATTGTAACCTATTAGATATGGTCAGATATAATTGTTTCCATGGGCAGCTTCATGTTGGGACCCAAAGGTTTCGGGTTTTGGAGCATTTTCGATCTTGATTTTCATATTAAAGATGCTCAATTTATGTAAATTAGCAGAAAATAGGATTTGGCAGTGATAAAAGGTATTAAGACATGACTGGGTGTGGGGGTATAGGCCTATAATTTCGGGAGCCAAGGCAGGAGCACAAGTTCAAAGCCAGCCTTGAGTACACACTTGAAGGCTAACTAAGGGACATAAATGCCTATTTCAAAAACAAAACCTAAACAACAAAACCTATCTCAGACTGTACACATGACTACTAAAGATAAAAGGTTGTATGTGCAAGATGCCAGAGATATATACAGTCAGGATCATGTGTCATGAGGTCCTAAGAGTATGTTACATGTCTAGGCTAAATGAAAAGACAATTTAAACGTTTAGTCTACCAAAGAAAGAAAAAAGTTTAAAGAAAGCTTATAGTTTAAGCTTTTAAAATGTCTATCCAAGTTATGACGGTCAGTTTACTATATGCAAAAAACTAGAGTATTTTAATTACTAAGAATATCTTTATCTTTAATTGGGTCTGATAAACTGCACTCAGATATAGGAACTTTATATTAATAATTTATTAAGACCATGAATTTAACTGATGAAATGCTCAATAGCTTAGAATAAAAATATACTGAATACTATCTTAATAACCATAAAGTCCTTGAATGAAGGCTTATATGAAATCAAGTCATATAGTAATAGAACTTCCTGAAATACTGTGAAAAATAAGTAAAAAGCATTAACTATAACTTTAATACAAATCTGATATACATAAAGGGCCTAATGTTTATAGGATTAAATGAATTAAGTTATTGAAAATGTAAAATACAAAATAAACATCTACCCACAATTTTCACACTGAAAAATATAAACTCAAAACTTTTTTTTAAAATACCGAACACTTCACGAATTTGCGTGTCATCCCTGCACATCAGCAGCCATGCTAATCTTCTCTGTATCATTCCACTGTTAGTATGTTACCAAAGCAAGCACTAAACTCAAACTTCTATTCCAAATAAAGCATAAAGAAATAAAATGCTTCCAGTGGTTTTCCACTGGAAGCCAGCATGACATATTCTTCAGATGTTAAGCAAGCACCACTTATGACCCAATCATGCTGGTCCTAGATATTTACCCAATGAAAAGATACACAAGAGCATATGTTCATACTTACGTATAAATTCTTTGTAATGACAAAAGAATTGACACGTGTATACGTATTGTAGTCTGTACACACACACAATACACTCCACAACAAAAGACTAATTATCAATGCATGAAACAAGACTGATGCTGAATAGAGCTGTAAATTAAAGGAGTACATACCACATACACACACACACAAAAAGAAATAAAATGCATGTTTACAAATCTGCCCTAACAAAATATTTTAAATTTTTAAACATTCAAAAGATACTAGATTTACTTACTAGTCTTAAGGTCTTATTAATGTCCAACTCATTATCTTAAATACATACTTTTTTTTTTCACTTTAAGGCAAAAGTGAGCACTTTAATTATAAACTAAACTTACCTTTTTATCTTCCTTTACTTTGTGGGGTTTCTTCTTCGTCTTCTTATCATCTACCTCCTGGTCAGATGTGATCGCAGGATTATCAATGCCACCTTTCCAAGTTTCAACAGGCGAAAGCAGTGGATCTTCTTCACTTCCTCGATGTCTTCCTTTTCTTTTAGGTTTAGAAGTTGTGAAAGCCTCATCATCACTTGCATCTGAGTGTGTTCTTCTATAGTATGACTTGGCTTTACTAAACAAAGTTTTAGATTTATATTTGTATTTTGAAGGCCTACGTTCCCCATGACCTTTTGAGATTCTATCAGAAAACCCATTTTCTTCATCTCCTTGAGTGTTATTTACAAATGAGTTTCGAATTTTAATAATTCGATTCTGACTATCATCTGGGACAACATAAATCTCATCAGAATAGCCCTTCTGTTTAAAAATTGTGTCAATGGGTTCCGCATAGTTATCTGAAGAGTCCATATCTTCAGGATGTGGCATAGGTACCCGGGAAGTCTGTTTTCTTGGATTTTTACCAATGCCAGCTTCTATTGTTTTTAAAAGGTTTGGATCCAGTTTTTTCACATTTGTTTTAGGTACAACAGGTTTAGGTTTAATAGGTGGAGGCACTTTATGGTTACGTTCATGATCGTGACAGTTTGGGGTGCTATGAATCGGATACTCATTTCCTTCCAAATCTAACCTGTATCTGGAACGGTCACTGGGTGTTGGAAGCAATTGTACATCATCCCCAATTGGACTATAAGGAGGTGGTGCTTCTGTGTCATCATCTGAATCAGGGTAGTTGTTATAGGGAAAACAGTCTCTTGGAGATGGGAGAAAAACATCTTCACTTTGATGGGTGGATTCCCTTGTGTTATCAGACAAATAGGAATTTTCTATCATATTTTTTTTCTCTAGAACATCACTGAAAAACAGTGTAAAGACCTCAGTTTGCCGATGATACTGAGATAAAGAATACAATGCTGTAAATTTAGCAGTTATTTCCGTTGCAATGTGTTCTCCTTCAGTCATTAGCTCCTTGATAGCCTCATTTTCAAAAAAATCTGCTTGACTATCAGTAACTGCCACCAGTTGTACAGGGATGGTATCTTGAACTTCTGACAGAAAGGCGCGAAGCATTCCCATTGATGCTTTCCGTTTTGCAGAATAAACTAATATATACCCATGAACCAGTTCATCTTTTCTTACTCCAATTGAAGAATGGTATGACAATATTGTGATCTGTATTCGCCTCCTTTTTTCACCGATAATTTTGTCAAGCATTAAGGAATTATTCTGTCCAGCTTGAGCAGCACTGCAAGAATGAGAATCCAGGAAGGGTGAAAGAATGAGATCCACACTAAATGGATCACCACACATGGCACACATGACAATCCTCAAGTCAGCTTCGGACACATCCTTATTGATAGGAACTGGGCTCACCACATCTAAATTGTGTTTAACTGACTCCAATACTCCTCTTAGAGCTTGCTTTATTTGTGATTCATTAAATTTACGAGGATATGTACCAGTAGGTACATCTACAAAAGGACACTGCAATTTGTTGGCCAACTGCTGTCCTTGATGCCTGAGAATTGGTAGATTTTTACTAATGGAGTCCCTCTGATTAGCAAGAATTAATGTAAATGGAAGATTAGCCATATATTTATCTTTTCTGATCTGAGATGCTTCAGTTCTTATTTTTCCAATAAATTCCCCAATAAAACTCAGTGACTCAATGGAATTAAATACACAGAAGCACCCATGTGGTTTAAAGGCTGTAGTCCATAACTGACTCAAAATGTAAGGCGATTTGGCATCAACAGGCCGAAGATCAAGTTCATAAATTTTTCCATCTAAGGCATACTCATCATCAGTGGATTGAGTCCTTATCTCATTTGCTAGTTCCTGGGCAAGACCATCTTTCCCTAAAATGAAAAGATTAACTTTGTCTATATTGGTACTATCATGATACAAGCGTAGGCGGCCATGATCCAACTGTAGAAGACTACTGGCAAGTAAGTGCTCCACTTTAATGTCTGTACAATATTGGCCACTGAGGCAGGTTTCTTTAGTGGGATGATACACAAATCCTATATGCTTAAGGAGAAGAGATTCCCTATCAGGTGCGAGTTTCTGTAAAGCTTTATATCTAGGTTCTTCACTTAGAACTGTATGGATTTCACTCATTTTATCTGAACTTGGTGTTGCATTAAGATCTAAATCATAAAAAAGTTCCGAATGCTCAAAAAGCATTTCCTGAAACTCTTCTTTGGCTTTTTCAACTATCTCTCGCTGATGTCTACCATATACTTCTTTGCTATCAGCCTCAGTGATGTATTTGAATGCTTCATCTTCCATAACAAAACACATAACTTCCTCCCATGGTTGCCCAGGTGAAATGAACTGAATTTTTTCTAAAGTCTTCTTGAATTTCTCCTTCATTTCTATTCTTCTTTTCTCTGATATCAGATGTTGTACATGGTTCTGATAGACCTTTTCTGCTTCTAAAGTTTTCAGGAGGTCGAATGGGATCCGTCTATCATTAATTTTGTCTATATGGTCAGTTTCATCCCAAGGTGTTTTTTCTAGCACCACGAAGCATAACTGGAAATCAGCTCTCTTTTCCATTAACTTCAAAGCTTCCAACCAATTCAAATGCTCAATCTCTTCTAGATCAGGCAAGAGAGTATTAAAAGCCCTTGGCAAGGTACTTATATATTCGTCTCTCCTTTTTCTTATATGTTCCTGCTTGAGTTGTTCTATATGCTTTGAGAATGTATTTCTGGCCTTTCTTGTTCCCTCTAAGTTGATATATTCTTCATAATCAGGATGATTTTTTAATTTATTACTAACAGTTTTCCAAGTTGCATGATAATCTCTCACAGTCTGTACAAGTTTTTCAAACTTATCTGTTGCTGTGACAACAAGTTGTCTCTGTGTTTTATAAGCATCCAGATAGGGAATAATTTTAGGTTTGCCACGAGTTTTATCCAACATTTGTACCAATGCAGTGAAACATGTCTCAATGTTGACATTAAACCGTGCTGATGTTTCCACTACAAGGAGGTTCTTTTTATTTGAAGCAAACGCTTGAACTTCTCTAAGATAATGATCCACACATTCATCACATTTAGTTGCTGCTATTATCACAGGCTTTTTGGATTTTGAAAGCTGGACAAAAAGGTTATTCACAAATTTAAGTTGATCATCAAACTTCCTATTACATCCTTGACTTACATCAATACACAATAAAAATCCATCTACATTGAGCTTCCCTTCAGGCATTTGTTTCTGTTCAAAGTCTTGCTCCAAACCCAGCTGATCGGTGCAAATGTACATTAGTTTTTCTGCTGACTGCAATTTAGAGGCAGCTGCACGTTTTATATATGGTTGTAAATTTGTACTTCGATGAGGCAAGAAAGTCTGGTCATCAATGAACTCTGTTTGTTCAATGACATGGATTTTGCATTCTACTCCATCTTCACCATTTTGTGTTATGTCACCCCAATACAAAAAGTGATCATTGTTTACTACGCGGCCTCCAAAGTCAATGGTGCTAAGCACGGAAGTATGCTCTGGATAATATTCATCTGCTTTGGAGCGTACAAATCTATTGCACAGACAAGATTTTCCAACTCCACAGTTACCTTTGTCTTTTTCAGTCCCCGAGAGTCCAACCACACTGACGGTATAGGATGGGGGACGAGGCTCTTTGTTTTTTGCCATCATAACTCTTTTCTCATGTCTCTACATTCAAAAAGGCAACCATATAGACTTTTCATTCTGAAAATAAAACCATTTCAAAATACAGATCCTGAATTTCAGAATTATATTTGGTTCTTTGTAGTTCCTTCATCGCCAAAGAAAGGTCTTGGAGATCATATGGATCATCTTCCTAGAAAGAGAAAAAAAATGAAAATCTTATGTGAGTTTTGTGAGTACAAAGTAAAAATGTCCACAGCAAAGTATTATGTAAACCAAAAATTGTAATGATATTGCATATATGTAAAGAAACCACACAGACAATTTATAATTTACTTTTACAAATGTACAATGGCCTCAAATTTTAAGGTAAAGCTAAGAAAATAGTAAATATATAAATCTAATGGCTTATAAGCTTTAAAATGAACTTTCTTAAAGCCTCTATTAACCAAACATGAGTTCTGCTTCTAATTACACTATCCTACAGATTTGAGGAAATAACAAATCTTTTCCACTGCTTTCATTTTCCTTCCTTCCATAACATGCTAGTAGTAACTACACTGTACTGCCTTCTCAATTGCCTTACAACTCGCATTCAATTTTGCTTTTTACTGTATCAGGAATAGAATCAAGGCCCTAACCCTAGCATGCTCTACACAACTCCCCTCAACAGCTGTCTCTCCAGCCTCATGACTTTAAAATATAAAATAACCAGCTTCAGGTAACAGAATTCCTCAAAACCTATTTCCCCAGGATTTTTGAATTTTAAGGTTTTATGTTTTGTTTTCAGTAAGTTGAAGCCTATTAGATTTCACACTCCTCCCAAAATTGAGAGAACACAGCAGAGCAAAGAACACAAGGGGGAAACAAGTTAATACTGTAGAAAACTTTTAACTATAACCTATTTTCTACCAAAATGCTCATACTTTTAGTAATATCTCTTATATAAGCTTATCCAAGTACAATGTAACTCTGGATACCATGGCTCACTGAGAATTCAGACTTGGGGCTGGGAGATGTTGCTTAGATGTAGACAACTTGCCTAATATTTATGGGTCCCTTGTTTTGATGCCCCAAAACAGCAATTCACTTCTGCTCTCCTACAGCAACCCCAAAACATGTGTATATATATATACACACAAACATACATGTAGACATATATGTATATAAACATACATACATGTAGAAATATGTATATACACATATGTAGAGACACACACATATATACATTTATATGAGTGTACTCTACATCATAAAATGAAAAGGCACAGAAAAGAGCATTACCATAAAAGATATTTTGAAGGTGTAAAAAATTAAATGATAATATTAATTGAAAATGTGTATATCTGAGTTTTATATATGTAATCACACCATTGAACACTGGGCAGTGAAAAGCTTTTTCTCTAAAAGATAAATAAAACTCTTAAATTGAGGCTGAATCAATTTAAGTTTAATTTTAAAGCTTCAGCACATCCTAAATAATCTGACAGTGACGATTTCTGAATCATAAATATGAAAATTTATATTAAAAAAATCAACTATCCCAGCACTCGGGAGGCAGAGGCAGGCGGATCTCTGTAAGTTTGAGGCCAGCCTGGTCTACAAGAGCTAGTTCCAGGACAGGAACCAAAAAGCTACGAAGAAACCCTGTCTCGAAAATCAAAAAAAAAAAAAAAAAAAAAAAAAAAAAAATCAACTAGAAACGGGAAATGATATTAGGCAAATAGTTTTTCTTTTCTCAACTCTCATCAGAGTCTTCTTCATTTACTAGCATGTTTAACACAGAAATCTTAGTTTGAGAAATCGTTTGAGAAAGCCAAGTCTAGAAAATAAAAGTGAACTATCATATGAATTCTTAGCCAGATCAAAATTATCCCCCATTAATTAATCAAAGTAATTTTCGTATTTTTTAAGGGCAAAGAACAAAAATCTTTAATAAACTAAGATCAGAACACTGCTCTTCAACTATGTATGCGTTATTTAATTTGAATTTTTTTTTCAAAAATGACCAGAAATAATATGTTACTGGGTCAGTCACAAATATAGCTTCTTTATTTCTTCTGAAACTTTATTCATACACAGCTACTCAGTCTCCTAACATTTAGTAAACTTATTTTTTACTAAATGAAATTAGTAAATGAGGAAAACAAAAAAAATAGTAATAGCCTGAAATGAAATTACATGGTTTGGATCAGTGTTTACATAATCAGTGTTGTTTTTAATAGTATAGTGAAGGCTCTCATCTTCAAGGTCATCTTAGAAACGTAGGTTTTATATGTTATGTCCAGAATGTCAATTATCTTTACAGAACTTAATAATAATACATATATTTCTGTCAAAATAAGGCAATTTCCTTATTTTTCTAAATAAGTTTTCTAAAATTTTACTACGGTAAAATTCATATATTGCATTCTCTTTTAAATAAAGTTTAATATTGTGAAGTGACTTTTTACAAATTAAAAGCTATATAAGAAATCTAGAAAAATGAAAATAGGTTTTTAAGAACTCACAATTTAATCTAAAATATTTTTAGAGACTAGAAGACTACTAACTGGAGCTTGGGTAAAGTGTGAGGAGAGAGAAAAATGAAAAGAAGATGGTCTATTATGGGTACTGAGGTACAGTTGGATAGTAGAAATAACTTCTAATGTTCTGCACCACAGCAGAATAATCAGAATTGACAAAAATTACATATTTAAAAATAGCTAATATAGAGGTGTGATGGCTAATTTTGGCTGTTGACATTTCGGGGGAAAAAAGGAACCTCAATAGACTGGCTGTGGCTGTACCTGTGGGTCACTTTAATTGACACAGGAGAGCCTTACCTACTGTGGGCAGGTGGCATGCACTGTATAAGGCAGCTGAGCAAAGCCAGGGGAAATAAACCACTATTGTGCTTTCTTTCCTCCACAGTTCCTGCCCTGACTTCCCTCAATAATCGACTGTAACCTGTACATCAGATAAACCCTTTCTTCATCAAGCTTGTTTGGTCAGTGTTTTATCATGGTAACAGAGAAGCAAGCTGGAGCAGAATCGTTACAGGAAAGTGGGGTATTGTAATGAACCTGACCATGTTGTTTTTGGGGAGGACTGGAGCTCATTTGGAAGCTTTTGGCTAGAAAAATCACTGAGTGCTCAGAGCTTAATGAACTGTTGCTGGAGCTTAGAGATGAGAATGTGGATAGAAATGCAGATGAAGACCCGGCTTGTGAAGTTTCAGAGGAAGTCCGAGTCTCTCAAAGACTCTACAGCTGTTGCTGTGACATTTTAATTAAGAATCTATCTAAGTAAAATCTTTGCTTTACTGGGACAATCAATGCTGGTTAGCTAGTACTGAAAAATTAGCTATGATCAGTAAGAGACCAGCACTACTGAGGTGAAATCTGGGTAGTAGTTCTTCAGGGTCAGCACACAGTTGGGGGTGGGGTTAGAAACTATCTCAAGGTGAAAGCGGAACTTGGCAATGTGTAAGTCTTCCATGTGGTACTGGTTTTGAAGGCATGAAGATATCACAGAGAACAGCTAAGGCCTGGCACTATATGGAAAGGTCAATGGGTCCCTGAAGAGAGGCAGGAGAGGCTATGGGTGAAAGTTCAGCCTCAGCAGCTGTAGCAAATCCAGGACTGAAAGAGTCATGGACAACAGCTGTGGTTTGACCCTCTAGAAAGCCAAGAGAGGTCACTGCAGTGGAGATTCTAGTATATTGGAGACACCAGGACCACAAGATGACTACCAAGGACGGTGTCAGGTGCAAATGAACATGGTCTGACACAGGAGACAAGCTGCATGGCCTGCAAATGGTGGAGTCAGGTTGTGGCGTTATCCAAGCCCTTTGCAGCCCAGATGATCATGAGTGAATTAATCCCAGATGTTATGAGAAGACATAGAGCTTTTGTTGGACTTTGGTTTTGTTTTATTTCATTATAGCTGTGCTCAGGTTCTTCTTTCCTCTTAAAATAAACTACATTATTTATTTTAGATTTTCTAGGAACCCACTGTTAAAGAGACTCTGAACTTTTAAAGAAAATCTGGACTTTAAAAAGTGTTGAAAATTTAAAGACTAGAGACTTTTAAAAGCTGGATTGTTTTATATTGTGATATTAATATTAGAACTAGCTACAGAAAGCAAGGAAAAGTTTCACAGTGATGTGTTTGTGTGTCAAGTTGACAAGGGGTTAAACTTGTGATAGCCAATCTTGGTTGCTAGCTGATATGCCTAAGAAAGACCCGCAACTAAGGAACTGCCTCCCTTAGACAACCAATGATCATGAACTGTATTAGAAAGATACTGCACCAGCCAGGGAAAATAACCCTTTAAGTTTCCTCCATGGCTCTTGCCTCTGCTCCCTCCTGAATTTAATGCTCAGATTTCCTCAATGATCGACTGTGATTGGAATGTGTAAGTCATATAAATCCTTTTTTTTTTCCCTCAAGTTGGTTTTGGTCCACATTTTATTAACAGTATCAAACAGCAAACTAATACAAGACATTCTGAATGTGTCAATACCAAAAAAAAAAAAAAAAAAAACTTAAGGTGGTAGAGATATGCCAATTACCCTGATCCAATCATACTGTATTCCACATACAATTACTGTGAATTAAGACACATAAATCTATAAACAATCTTTAAATAAACTTTTATCCTTTTTCATAAAATTGTTGCACTTAATAATTGTTTTCTCTGACTGGTCCTATCTTTAAAACACACATATAACTTAGCAGTTTCTGATACCTTTACTAAAATAACCCAGATTCTATTCATCATCATGTTTGGTAAACGATTCTACTTTCATTTCCTTGCATAATTTCTGCTTCCTTTCTCTGGTCTGTTAATATCAAAGCAGCCAGGTTCTTGTTAAAATACAACCCAGAGCCTTCTGTTCAGAACTTTCCAGTACTTCTAAAAGGAAGAGCCAAGTCCTTAACATTCTACTACTCACTCTCTGCCTTCTACAGTGTTCTCCTATCTCTGAGCTACTCTAATAACACTTTCCCAAATTCTCATTCTGCTTCAGTCACACTGATGCACACACACACACAACATGCTTAGCACATGCCTGCCTTTGCACTTGCACTAGTATTTCCAAAACTACTATATAACATAATTATTGCATGTCATTAACTCTACCCTTCACCCATTTCACTCCAGATTTAACTAAAGAGCCTAAAAGGCACAAATCTACGTTCACTGCA